AATTTTATAAAATTCCATACACATGCTTCTATGTGTAAGTTGAAATTGAAAACAACCCAAAATATATATACTTTGATGACAATGGGAATTTTAGATAAGTCATAGAAATATGATGGGGACAAATGGTCTTTTAAATTGATTTTACTCTGACGTTAGAAAACAACCCAAAATATATATACTTTGATGAGAATGGGAATTTTAGATAAGTCATAGAAATATGATGGAGACAAACAGTCTTTTAACTTGATTTGACTGTGACATAAGATGTCATTCTTTTTATGCAAATCCTCAGCTTTTGAACAATAGCAGTGATTCTTATTCATGCTAAAATAAATTGTCTAGGGACAACCAATTGAAATCCTAAAAGTGATGTTTAGATGCACTAACATATTTATAGAGGTATAACCTTGTTTGCACTAAAATATACATCTTAAAACACATTGGTATTATGTATATAATACATGTAACATAAGTAGTTTGCTTCATTAAATAATACAAGGAAATACTCTGATATTTAATGGAAAAACTTGTTTATTATTATTGGAATTATTTTTTCCATACCTGATGTTGCTAGGTTAACCAGGTGAAACATTGTAATGAATATATGTTGCTCTTTTTATCCAGTAAAAAAAAATTCAATTTGTTCTGTTGATTAAGCACAATAGACTGATCTTAAATTCTTGTTAGTATTAAAACTAATTCTTTAAGGTGTAAGTAAAGTATAACTTATGATTGTTTAAATGGCTTTTGAAAATATTATATAAATACTTTATAAGATAATATTATAAAGAAACTTGTTGGCTGGATTATTATAGAATATAAAAGGAAATGGCATTGAGACTACCTACAATAAGTGTTATTGTAAATTTTGTTAAAGGTTTAAGCTTTCTATGACATAAGAGTATCAAATATTTTTTTACCCATGAAAACATACAAGAAAGACTGTGATTTTCTGCCAAATATTTACTTCATAAAGTGTTAAAAACCAAAATATAAGAATATCATATTTCATACCTGTTATCAAAATCTCTTCATTTTACCTTTACCTCAACTATGAATGTAAAGTGCTGTCAATTCTCATAAAAAAAAAGCATGTTGTTTGTCTTCCACTTGAGTATACAGACTTTAAGGCTAGAAAAATTACTTAATTTTAAAGTTCTGTGTTCCTGTTATTGTGAGACATTACAGAAAGTAGTAATAATGTGGAATATTCTTGTCCAGTTACTATGGATTGTAATCAAAGTTGTTGTTTTTTAACTATTAAAAATATTACAATGTGGTTTCTTCAAAGGAATTTTGGCAGTTCTGTGGTGAGAACTTTTTTCCTTTGTCTTCATTATACAGCTGGATAATCAATGACCAAAGATTATGATGTCATTGTAATTACTTAATACTATAGAAGTGGTAGAGTATGCATAAAGTCAAATTACTTTCCCATTTATCACCACGTAACAACGTTTTAACTTATAATTAATACCTAAAGTAACAAATTCTGTCTTTTTAAAGGGAAAAAAAGTTAATTTAACATTAATTTACAAAAGAATGCTTCTAATTGGTAAGATAAAATGTGAATGCACAATCTATAATGGTAAAGTTTCAAGGATAGTAAAAACTACTTTATTATTAAAAACATATTTTTAGTCCACAACATTTCATGGTTAATGGGTAACGTTGGTAATGCAGCTGTTTTAAAGCATTCCACAGATATCTGAAGAAAATTTGAAAATAATATTTTAACAAACAGATCTTTATAAACCTCCTGGTAGCAGAACTAAGAGAAGCTAATGCAAAATAAAAATTGATGTTACCCAGAATTGTGGAATTCTTTCTGAATTTTATGAATATGGAAAACGGTTGTTATTTATTAGAGTGGATATCTGTTTCTTTTTCTAAGATCTTTTACATTAGAATTTTCCATGTATTATAGTCTACTACTACATTAGTTCTTAAGTTTAAGAAATATAAAGAATTTCATTAAGCCATTTGAGTGTGATTGTACAGAGTCTTGTATCTTTGTATTTTTCTCCTTATTAATAAATTGCATGACATTCCAAAGTTGCTTATCAAAGGAAGAAATGTGATATGAAATATTTAATGGTTGAGCCACTTCCAACTTATTTTCTGGCCATACGATGTTAATAGACATTCATTATCTGTGTCATTATTACTGTTTTAACAATTTTAAAAAGTTTCTTCCTCTAATGAGTCAGTTTTGGCACACCCTGTAGAGGTTTTACTTTACACCTTTGACCAACAAACTTTATATATGCCAAAATAAAGAAAGGTAATTTTATAAAGAACATTTTAGTGAGTGCTACAGCATAATAGTCTTGATTAGATAATTAATTATAATGTTGTGTACATCAAAGCAAATTCTAGAATGTGATAGGGCATTTTACACTGTGAAAAGAGGGCATTTTAGCTGTAGTGCTCAAGTAATATAATAACTTTTAAGGTAAGATTTGATATATAGCATTAAAGGTACAGTTAAAAATTGAAGGAAATATTGTCAATTTGGGACATTATTGGAATATCTTGATGCTTGATTGTTTCATGCATACTTTTGCTGTAACTGACAGTTACAAAGATATGCAACAAATGCTGGAGAATGGGTACATTGAAAATGTTCTTTAATTGTTTCATCACTTTGACCAATTTGCATTTTGTCACATCCTACAGGTATTCAAATACATACAGATAGGGAGGATATTATAGTTGTTACTCATAAGAGTTCTGTGTGTTATAATACACATGAAAGTATGTTGTGAACATTAACCATTGGTTTGACAAGTTCTATTTGTTGTTGTTTCTTTTCTTGGCAATAATAATTCCAGAATGTTAATACCTTGGTTTTCTTCTACATTATTATACATTTAAAGATAAAAAAAAATTAGGTTTAGATTTAAATCAGTTATATATAAATGTCTGAAAGGCTTTTATGTATGAAGTGCAACATTTGAATTCTCAAAGTCATTTTAACATAGCAGTTATTTAAAATTTTAGATATCTTGTTACTTGTAATTTAGTTTTTGTAAAAAGGAAATAAAGACTATAAATTGTTATTCAGAAACTATTGTATGCATTTACTATTATATGTAGGAAAAGAAAAAAGGTTGACCTTATCAGAATCTCATCTTGTTCAAACTGGTCTAGTAGAAAGGAATTATGTAAGAACAGCTCATTTGTGAGAGAAGGAATGCAACTTCCCACTGTAAATATAAACAAATTGCATTAGTCCGGGTAAAAATTAATTTGTTGTAATCGATTATCTATTGTTGTCATGGTTAGTAATCTGTACCAAAACTTAAGTCTTATTAGCCAGTTACAATGTTTTTATTATTATTTCTGACTACTAATTACAAACTAGTTTCTCAAAGATATATACATATAAACCACAAAAAAATCTGTTTGTCCGTTATCTAACTACTACTAGGTCGCTAGGCCAATCTCGATCAAACTTTGTGGGATAATAGTTTGGGCATGTTATTGGAGGGTTCACAACCCTCCACCCCAATTATTGCTGTTGTTGAGCATTTATTATATTTGACGTCAGTTAACGTTAACTACACCCAAAGATGGTGCCACGTCCTTACACTAAAAAGAAAATATTTTCTATAACACAATATACACACACAGTGTGGGTGACGGCAAATAAACGTATTATATATATATCAGAGAGTGGGCTAGCACTCTCTACGGAGGAACGCAATGAAAAAATTGCCCCATCTATTGCAATGATACATAAACTCTGCTAAGGTTTCTACTCCAATAGCCACCATAAAGCTGATATGAAGAGCTGTTTTTTTTTAGTTATACCAACTTCCTACTATGACACGTGACTTTTCAACTTCTCGGGCAATGATCGTCTATTAATTAATCACATGAAACACTCTGGAAGGACATTAAGAGCTAGTTGTTGAAAGCGGGTAGCAAAAAGCACACCTACCCGGACAATGGACGAGTACCTCAGCTAGTATTCTATGTTTGGCAACTACATTCAGTAAATTCTTGAGTAGGACTATGTTTCTGATGATAGTTGACGGGGTCTTCATCCTTTGTACTGATAGAAAGGCTGGTGAGTTATCAAGTCATCTGGGGAAAGGATCGTGTTTGTGGTGGTACTGAATAGTACTTGAGATTTGATCGTAAGTCTCCTTAATAAGCTGGTGTTATCTCAGACAAGTGAACACAGTCCTTTCTATCAAGAAGACTAATGATCAAATCCTGGCCAATATCGCCACAAACACTGTCCTTCTCAGGGCTTTCTTGAACAAGGTATAAGATTAGCAACCAAAGTGTAGGAAAAACTGG